GTTCGGGCTGGCTCGCTTTTCTTCTTTTTGCTCTTTTTCTGCAGTTCTAAAACACTCAGATAGTCAACACCAACTAGCCCAACAACAAGTTCTTTTACATTCAGATACTTTCGCATGCGGCCACACACGGTACACCACCGCATATTTATCTCGAGTGAACGGAACTTGAACATCACAGCAGAAGGAAAAAAGATGGGTATTTTTATCCGAACTTTGAGCTCTACCCAGAGAGTTGAAAATTTGTCGTTCTAAAAACGGCACACTGAAGAGTGATTATATCACTATTGCGTTTTTTTTTTTGTTTTGTTTTTTGTACAAAGTAATAATCATGAGTAATTACAAGTCAAAGATATTGCAGTCAGAGGGACCCAGTCTGACCATTTTTGGGGCATAATATATAGGTTCGTACTACAGGTGTTTTCTAGAGTGACGGCCGCCTCGTTGAAGCTACTAAGAAGAGTAAAAACAAACTTCCATAAAAACTGAAACGGTTTATGGTATATTTCATCTATCTTCAGCCTTTGAAAAAAATTTCTTCGTGGCCAAACGTGCATTTAGTTTCTGTCGACAAATGTAACTGAAAACTTGACACCCGACAAATATCTTGCGTATCAGCAAAGAGAACGGGAAACACGGAGATAGAACCGCAAAATCACAATTTTCTTCGCGTAAAATAGTGCAACTAGCAATATTATGCCACTAGCAATATTATGCCATTTATTAAAAGACAGCAGGTATTACGAAGTTTTCATTCTCTTCTGTTCGCATTTGTTCGCTGATGAAGAAACGGAATGCCCAGATAGCCTCTGCAGCCCTTACATAATTGTTTGGGGCTTTGTCAGGGTGGGCGAAGGCCATCTCCAAAAAAACCCAGGAGTTCGGAAGGTGTACTACCGCAAGTTTTGGGGCTGCTTGGATAATTTAGGCGTCTGGCGTTCCCCGCCTACTTAGAAAAGGAGTGGAACAGCGGTCAGCTCAACGTCGTCACCAAGCGGGAAATCATGCCGAAATGTGTCCTTGAACACGTGCGAGATCTTTACCCGAACCCAGCCGGGATTCGCCACAATTAATCTACGAAAAAAATTACAAAAAGGGGTAGGCTTAAACGATTTGGCAGTTTTTGAATATAGTCATGCGGACTAACTGTCCACAAGTACGGAAAGAAATGCAGTAGAGATGCACAGCTCTATTGTGTTCTTTATGTCCATACTTGTCTTTCGCGCTGTACGCCAATTAAAATGAATTCTGCAATATCTGTAGATTATGCCTGGTTATGTTGTCTTTAAAAGAAAAGTAATCAAGCAAGTTCGGTATCGTGCCACAATTTGTGCATATACAATGTTATGTGGAATTCAAATTCAAAACAGTACTTCCGCGGGAAATAATGCATCCGTCGTTCTTCGTCTTCCTGAAGCTATGAACTATCGATCCCGGCTACAGGACTTTTGGGTCCACAAAATATCACGCTCAGTAGAAAATTCGCCTTTTCTACCAAAAGTACTGAAAATTATTTATTTTTCAAACAGGTCGGGTGGTGATGCGTGTTTGAGTGTAGAACCGTTGACTGGGCACTGGTTTGCGCCAAGAGTGCAGTGCTTCCTTTCATGCTGCCCGCGACGAGTGTTGAAATTTGAATATAGTAGAAATAAAATCAACTGACACCCTTAGAATTATTTTAAACTTGCGCTTTTTTCAGGCATTAAGATTTTTATCACACCTTTTATTCATTGTCGTCTTCGATGAGGGAACAACTTGCCGAGGAGGCCGCGCTGTCCGCGTACGCGCCTTGACAGATAAGGTCGCGAATGCTTTTCACGAATCTTTAAAGACCAAGCATAAAAATGAAAGGCGCAGCCACTTTACGCCAATGAATTAAGCCAACTTTATGTTTTGGGTAGACGTCTTGCGAGAGTTGCAGTATTTTTAATTATGCCTAATAAATTAAATGTTTAGGACTAAGTACCAGACTTTTTTAGATGTATTAAGAACCAAAATGTCAATTGGAAAGTTCTAGAGCTGCTTGAGAAACACCCGAATTAGCTGTTTGCAACGTGATGCGGCTCGCGTGGCTTCCTTCTGACTAGTAATAAAGCTTATGAAACATTACAAAATACCCCGTGATAAAGCGCCCGCCCCATCGTAAACTCAATTTCGAATGTCCCGGGATTTGTTTTCATAGGCCGGAAAAAAAAAAAAAAGAGATGCATGCAAGACGCGTGCCCCACGCTTTATTTATATCAGAAAAGAACTGCCCTCTATTTTATATACAACGTTTATTTATTTTTTTTTTTTTACCTACTAGATATTAGAAAAAAACGTGGAAATTAACGTTTTGTGGATGTGAGCTAAACGGCCAGGCGAAGATTGGGTTCAAGAAAGAACGCAACAAAAACCGACTGATTACCTAACATTTGATAATAAACTTTTCGATTATAAAAGAAAACGGGATAGTTGATTTATAAAGTTGTTGGGCGTAATCGAAAGCCACCAAATTGTCCAGTGAAAATTAGCGCCATTGCGGTTTGTGTAGGTGAGCTATACGGCCAGGCGAGGATTAGATTCAATAACGAACGCAACTAAAACCGACCGATTGCCTAAAATTCGCTAATTAACCTTTTAATTAGAAAAGAAAACGGCATCTTGTATTTAGAAAGTTGTTGGCCATAATCGCAAGCCACCAAACCGTCCATTCTTAAAAAGATGTAACGCGCGTACTTTATTATACGGCGTCCTCCTAATTTGGGCGCGAAAATATAGTTCTGATTTTATGTGGGCTCCATCTCCGCGTGGCACAGCCTAACGCCATGAAGCTAAAGCGACAAATCATGCGCATCGCTGTGACAACGCCACTGTAGAAGGGGCGAGGAGTGCGGTGGCCGAAAAGATTGCGGTAACACGATTCGCGTCCAAATTAGGCTTTTTAGGACGCCGTGAGCCACTTCACGTCCACTACATCTCTTTAAAAATGAATGATTTGGTGTTTTTGATGACTATAGATAAGGCACAAACCGCAATTGCTTAACTCTGACGTCTTTTTTAGAAAAATGTCTAGTCGTTAAAAAAAATCGCCCTGTATAAGCACGATTGTAAGGCAGTTCTTTACGTTCGGCGACATCATTACGGCATGGAAGGAGACGTTGACCACAGATCATACTCTGTGTATGATCTGTGGTCACTGTTTTTTTTCTCGTACGAGAATGAGCAAACATTTGATACCAAATAAAATAGATTTAGCATTCACCAAATTCGGCTTGTTTACTTGATTCAAATCGATATTTGATTTGATTACACTTATTTTGTACCCGCACACGCCTACTTTATTCCCTAATGAGTTACAAGTAATAATTACATTGTTTTTTGTATTTCTTTTGTCGTGCGAGGTCATCACAATTTATTATTAACAATCGGAGCTATGCGATTACGCGGAGGAGGCGCATTTGAAGATATTCAAAATTTTTCTGAATACACAAACAACTTCAAACGTCTTGCTGTTTGGGTCGTTTCCTACACGCAGGACCAATAATAAAGTCAACACCTTATAGAGGAGACTATTTCTATCAACTCAACGCGCAAACACGATGTGAAGCGTGTCTGCGTACGTTGGAAAAGAGATAGTGGCGAGCAAACCATAGCGTCGAATGTCCATGCATCAAAATGTCCGTGCACCGAAATATCCGCTCACCGAAAAGTCCCCCACCGAAAAGTCTTTGCAGCAAAAAGTCCGTACACTGAAATGTCTGTGCACCAAAAAGTCCGCACCGAAATGCCCTACAGCAAAACGCTCTACACCGAAAAGTGCTAGACCCACTGCGGATGGGATCCTCTGTCACCTCTGCCGGTTTACGAACCATGATGATTCAGAACCACTGGTCTATGGAGCGCCATCCCTGATATACAGAAAACGCCGCTCGTACTTCCCGTTGTCGCCATGAATCCGCCTAAACAACGAGAGATGCCAAATCAGATATTTATATTAAAATTGATACTTCAATGACTACTTCTTTGAGCAGAACAAGGTATTTGTGCTCTCACAACAGCAAAGAATCGTCTTCCAAACCAATGCTAAAAAAGAGCCAATGCAACTCGTTGGGAAGAGCAAGTGCCAAGCTCGCTCAAAACAGCTACTCGGTTGGTTCAGCTCCTTGTCGCAGGTGTGCCGGCTGGCTTCTGGATAATCTTTTCAAATCCTCGAAGCTTTCATTTCCTCCACCCCAAACTTGTAAAAACATAACAAAAAAAAAAACAAAAAAAACAAAAAAAAAAAACAGGCAGCTGGGAAAAAAAAAAATCGGAAAATGGCGAGGAGGAAACGAGAGGCTATTTCCTCCTTTCACAGTGGCGAGAAGGAAAGTGAGGGTCGGGTTCCTTCTCTCTGCTTGCGGGCCGGCCTTTAAGGTGGTTGAGAAAAAAAAAAAAACTATTTTCGGGAACGAACTTCCAGCCACGGTCGACATTATAGGATTGCAAAAAAAAGAAACATACTAATTAGCCAAATAGTTAAATAAAATTCACTCATTAACATTTTATATTAGTGAAGATAAGCAAACGGTTTTAATGAGAAACCTGCTGGGCGTCATCAGAAACCGCCTAAATCAGTGAATTTTAGAAAGTCTCGAAGCACGCGTGAAGCACAATAAAGTCACCACTCGTGCAGCAGGCGCAGGGCTGGTTAGGAAAAAACGCGGATGATAAAACCATCCGCGTTATTTTTAATCAGCCATGACACGGGCTCGGCGGCGTAGCATAAATTCGAAGGTGACAGCCTATGCTTAGACAACGTCCGCTATAAAGAATATTGTTCTCGTCCCCCTTTTTCTTTTTTTTTTTTTTTCAGCTTTACCAAAGTCGAACGCTGAATCCTTTACTGAGGCAAACACACGCAACTTGTGTCAATTTGTAAGCTGAGGTACCCATGGCCATGCCACGCTTTGTATTGTTGCAATGTTCTAATGCCAGCTTCAACCATGTATTCTGACATATATAAAAATACCTCTTTCCAGGATAAGCTGTGCGGGTATCATCGTGGCTAGACCGATCACACAAGAGGTCTGTGAAGCCGCCGGCTGCTGCTGGGTGGAAAACAGCACCATCCAGTCATGCTACCACAAATTTCCAGCGGCACTGAAGTACCACTTGGATCATGCTACACAGTCAAAGAATCTCTGGTTAAACCTACGCACCGAAGGTTATGTCAACAGTTCTTTGCTTCGAGGTATTGTTAAAAATCTTGTCGTCAAAACTCAAATGATGTCCAACTATCACGTTCAGGTATGCATTGCCGATGCAAGCGCCAAAAGCCAGAGGACTACGTGCAAACCGCCAGGTGAAGTGAGTGCAAACAAGAGTGCATCTTTAAGCCCAGAGTATTACGTCAAATTTGGTGACTCGACAGACATGCCCGAATACGATGAGCCTTTCTACCTCAAGATTCAACGCAAAAGCTCAAACAACAGGACTCTTTTCAACACAAAGCTGGGAGCCCTGTTAGTCACGGAAGATGTCCTTGAATTGACGACAATCCTACCGTCCCGTAACCTCTACGGGTTGGGGCTAACTTCCTCGACTTCGCTGAGGCACACAATGTCGTCCAAGTGGACCTTGCTCAATCGAATCTCGTTTGGTGATGACGGCAACGGTTGGCCCGGTGTTCATCCTTTCTACCTTTGCGTCGAGAATGATGGCAAAGCGCACGGAGTACTTCTGGACACAAAGAGTATCATCCACGTGGAAACAACCAGATACCCCACGGTCACATTCCGCATCTTGAACACCAGCAGTGTGAGCATACACGTCTTCTTAGGTCCCACGCCTGCAGACGTCATCAAGCAAATGACTGCATTCGTAGGAAGACCAAAGCTTCCACCAATCTGGGCACTGGGCTTTCATGTCTGCAGGTACGACCTAAAGAATGCGTATGAGGTCATCAGTGGACTTCGCGAGAAGGGCGTGCCCCATGAGTCGGACTGCATCAGTTCCAAGTTCACATCCGAAATCCCCTATGTGCTTCCCGTCTCCGATGATGAAAAGCAGTGGAAGAACCTGACTGCCCTCCTTAAGCAGCAGGGACAGAAACTACTCCTTGTTCACACTCCCCATGTGCCCATGAATGAAACTTACAACGATAAACCGTATCACCCGTTTGTCAGTGCCAAACGTGACGGGATACTGATGGGGGATGGTGGGCATAGTGTGCGTGCCGTACCTCTAAGCTCTACAGCGGACCTCAGCTATGGGGTGGTGGACGTCTTCAGCAAACACTACCCAAGCTGGGTCAACGAAAATTACAAGGAGGCCTACGATGAGACCCCCTTCGACGGAATTCTTCTCGACCAAAATACACCAGTGGACATGAGCCGTCCAGAACCCATCAACCAGTACAAAGATCCGCCTCCTTACAAAACGAGGTGCAGCAATAACTCTGTGAATTTCCCGTTTGTGAACTTTGGTCCCGAGCTCCTCTTCAAGAACACCGTGTGCATGGACGTACCGCATCGGGACACTGCGGCACTCCACTACGCCTTACACAACATGTACGGCCTGAAGAACACCCAAGTCGTGACAAAGAGCGTGGCAAATGTCACCAAAAACAAATCCCGCCAAATGTTTTTCGCCAGCATGTCTACACATACCGGAAGTGGAACCTACGGCGGCCATTTCGGAAGCGGCTACAAGGCCACGTGGACCATGCTCCAGACATCTCTGGTACACATGCTGGAAATGTCGCTGTACGGCGTTCCCATGTACGGGTCGGCCGTGTGCGGATCCGAGGGGGACCCCAGCTACGACCTGTGCTCCCGGTGGTACCAGCTTTCAGCGCTGAGCTCGTTCATGTTCACGAGCCGGAGGGCCGGAGAGGCCCCGGTGGATCCTTACTCTTTGACATACATGCGAGATGTGGCGCGACACAACATCCAGATCCGCTACACCCTGCTGGACTACATGTACACGCAACTGATGCTTTTCAGCGCCGACGGAGAGCCCTTCTTGAGACCCGTCTTCTTCGAGTACCCGACCGACAGGACCGCCTGGAAGATCACTCGTCAGTTCTTCCTAGGCTCGGCGCTGATGGCGGCTCCGGTGATGACGGCAGACATGAGTCTGGTCAAGGTTTACTTCCCCAGGGACAGCTTCTACAACTTCTTCACGCGACAGCAGATGTCAGTCGACAAGACGGACAGGTGGCTGGGAGTTCTGGCTTCGGAGTACGAGCCGGCCCTGTTCATCAGGGCCGGTCACATTGTGCCCATGCGGAGACCAAACGTCACGGTGGCCTTGACGCAGAAGAATCCCTTCTCACTAATGGTCGCGACCAAGAAGGCCGACAAGGGAAAATCACTTGCACAAGGTGAGGCCGGTGTGGTGGTGTTCCGTAGACTTACGAAAATAAACGCGGAGTCACACATTTGCGTTCGAGTGTGACCCGGTTATGGTGTACTAGAAGACTGGGCAGTGTAGCGAGCGCCGGCGGAAGGGGGGCTCTTTCAGCGATGACCGGATCGGTGGCCGCGAGAGGGCGCAACGTGTAGTAGGCGTGCTGCCGGAGAGCGGAGCGCAGGCAGCGGTAGCGCTTGGCTGGCTTGGCGTTCCGCACGAGTTCGATTGTTTCGTATTGTTCGGCTAACTCTTTACGGTATTCTTTATTTCTGCTGTTTCACATATTATTTATCGCACTAATTCGTTGCCGAATGCTTTGCCCGAGACGTGCATCTTCGGGCAGGACGCCACAGTACATATCCCGACACTGCTAGCGCGAAGAAGACATTGGCGCTTTCTCGGATTTACTTCGAAAGAGTATTAGTGAGGACGAACTTTTATCACCTGCATTGTAGATCCGAATGAGCTTTTTCCCCAGCAATTAGAACTTTGCTGAGATCCCTTGGTTTCTCATAGAAAAACCGGCGATCGCTTGTTCGCGCTAACAATGTTGCGTTCTGAATAGGCAGGTAATCCACCCCCCAGGGAAACGTTCGGGAAGTCTCTTGAAAGAGACGTCCCAAACGTGTGTAATCCCCTGGATAACGTAGGATGAGCATGCTGATGGCATGATACCTAAGCAAATGTGTGCTTTTGTGACCCTATAATTTCGCTGTCACTGTAGTTGTGATCAATGAATTCCGTGGTTGAAGCGCACTACCCCAATGAATTGTTTCAACGTTCGGGAAAACAAAAAGGGACTTCCAAAACGGATTATATCGTCTACTTCCGTAGGCTGAATGGAGGTGCCACTGTCGACTCTCGCAACTACTTCCACGGGCTTTCGAAGGAATTTCCAGCACTAGCCTTTATCGTGTTTGCTGTTACTACGTAGGGTCTTCAAACAGGACTGTGCGAATAGTTAGAAAAATGTATCCACTCACCAGCTCTGGTAGTAACCACAGTGGATAAATTCTTATTTATCCACTGAGCACCAGCTATATTGATAAGTGTGGGCACCAGGGCACACAGATAAATTTTTAATTATGCACTGGGCGCCAGCGCACAGATGAGATAAATGAGGTGCACCCAAGGATTCCGGACGCGATAGTACTTGCTTTTCCCAAGAGCTCGGGAGAGGGGGGCTCCCGAGCTCCCGCGTAGTCGGCGCCTGTGGCGTTTTGTACCTCTACATTCTTACACGTGAGGTCATGATCTTGATGAGCTTCGACATCTTCAGGATAAATGACTCAGTATCTTCCGCTGGGCCATAAGACCCTTCAATTTTCTTGCGGTAAAAAAAGAGGCCTCTTAGCACCTCCTCATTGAAGAGACGGAGTGCTGGGCCAACCCTCATCTTTTTAAAGCTGGTAGGAAAAAAATATTAATTTGCTGATGTGAGGCCATAACCTTTAACGTCACATTTTCACAGTCACTTCTCCAAGCCTTTCTGATGCAGTCAGCGTGCACAGGACCCTTCGGTGTGTCCAAACCAGTGTCTATAAAACCGATTTAGCAGATACTTTAGAGTGCAAAAAGTCCGGAAAAAAAAATGTAGAGGACGACTGTCATAACTGCCTGCATTACATGAAGCAGAGACTCCTTGTCACTCCTTTTAATATTGAGGGACGACGACTGACGCCGATCGAACTCGAGAGGGGCACGAAAAAGGGAACGGGCTTCTTTGCAGGACCGGTAGCCACTGTTGCAACCCGGCACGGGCCCCAGGAATTGAGGTTAGGGATGGGGGCTCGGGGGGCATTGAGAATATAAGAGTCACTGCGAATTAAAGGGGTGCTTTCGGAAAAACAAGGGGGGAGTACACCCTTTTGGTACACCCCCGTAGAGGGGTGTAGGGAAATCACTGCCCCGACACAAAACACGTCCCGTCTCTCTTGTCCCGCCGTTTTTCCGTCACTGCACGCGTTGTCTACATCCCACTGAACGGCACCGATCACAATCCATTTCACTCACCATTTAAAAAAAAAAAAAAAAAAAAAAACTGCAGCAAAACAAGGCGACGACGCGAACCACGCGATCACAAGCAGCACGACCACACGGCAATCCGAGCGGGAAGGAGCACGCCTGTTACCCGCAGCGCCCCCTGGCGTCCTTGCGCGCTGTCATCGCTGCGCCGACCTCCTCCCTCCGTTCCTTCTCGGCGCGGACGACACACTGCCCAGTTCTAGTACACCATAACCCGGTGTGCGTAGCAGCTACTTTCAATGGATGGATGGATGGATGATGGATGGATGGATGAATCTGACTGAGCCCTTTGGATCGGGCGGTAGCTTACGCCACCTAGCCTATTTGTTTTACCATTTAAGCTTAGAATATTTAAATGTGAAAACTATATTCACTCCGCACTGCAAAGAAAGTGAGGCTATAAAAAAACCCTTGTCATCAGTTAATAAGAAAATACCTAGTTTTCTCTCGCTTTCTGCCACCATTCACTTAATCTTTGCTTGGTAATCTCTACAGTTTTGAAATCCACTCTCCCTTCGCTGTCTCTAAAACCCAATGACTTTATTAAATCTATGTTGTCTTCAGAAGACATAGGGTGAAGCCCTTTACAGTAGAGTATCAAGTGCTCAGCCGTCTCGTCCTCCTCTCCACAAGCAGTGCACACTGTATTCATTTCCTGGTACTTCGCTCTGTATGTTCTGGTTCGCAGAACACCTGTCCTCGTCTCAAACAACAATGAGCTTCCCCTAGAATGGTCATAAATGCTTTCTTTGGCAATAACTGTTTTGTTTAATCTATAGCTTTCCAGAGCCGTCTTTTGGCCGCTTGGCCGGCTTGCTAGAACAGCGTCTCAGCTGAGACTCAGTGAAAGAAAGCACTGCCATAGCCTCCTCTATACTCACAAAGCCTGACAGTTTGATGACGGAGACATAGAGTGCCCGGTCGCACATTTGGAGCGCGAGGATCTGGTAGCACAGAGCATTTCTCGGAGAGTCTGGTATTCAGCCCACAATTTTCGCAGCGGCGAGGACCCGAAACATGGTTTTCAAACCCGACGAGACAAGAAGCGTTAGCTTGAGGGACGCGGGAAGCATGAGCGGACATTCCATCGCTCGGGACAAGTGTGTTTCGGCGTCTCGCCGCAGCGGTGCGCCCGTTACATGCCTCTTGTCTGCCACTGTATACCTTTTGACTATCGGCGGCCGCGTCTTGTGGCGATCTGCGAGGCTTCGTCAGTGGCTATGACACTGCAAAGGCTGCGGCGCGCGAGCGTCTTGCGACGCGGCAAGAGTCCCGCTCAGCTCGTGCACTGGCTTTGGCAGTGCCATAGCCTCCTCTATAGACGCTTTCAGCGCGCGCCAGATTGAGCCGCCATAGCCGACCTTCTCTTGTCTTGCCGAGATGCCGAGGCACTGAAGCGGGCGTGGACGAGTCTCCACAAGGACTTATGCTGGGGAGAAGGACACAGTAACACTCAAAATGACAATAGCCTGTCCAGCTGTGGTATTGATGTAGTGGAGCAAACGGAATAAGAGGGAACAAAAACTGAAGGTCGGTTATGGCGGCATCCATGCACAGCTGCCTGAAAGCGTTTATACTGACAAAGCCTGGCAGATCACCACGAGGCGTGGCTGCCGAAAGTGAAAAGGTAGAGCGGCAGACAAGAGTCATGTGGTCATGTAACGGTAACGGCGCCCCGCTGCGGTGAGGCGCCGAAACAGGCTTGTCCCGAGCGATAAAATGTCCGCTCGTGCTTCTCGCGTTCTTCGGGCTACGCTTATTTTCTCGTCGGGTTTGAAAACCATGTTTCGGGTCCCCACCGCTGCAAAAGCTGTAAGCTGAATGCCAGACTCCCCGAGAAATGCTCTGTGCCACCAGACCCTCTGCTCCAAATCTGCGACCGGGCACTCTATGGCTCCGTCGTCGAACTGCCAGGCTTTGTAAGTATAGAGGAGGCTGTGGCAGTGCTTTCTTTCCCCCAGTCTCAGCTGAGACGCTGTTTCTAGCAAGTCGGCCCTTCTCCTCTCGGCGCCAAGGAACATGGCACCGCCTGAGGCATATATAAGGTGTCCCAAGTCACCTCTCGATCTAAAATGGACCGTAAAATCGACGCCTGCACGTAGCAATCTAAACTTTTTGTCAAAGGTGTATTTCACAGGTCGGTCTTGTAAAATTACAAAGTGTAGCTCCCTTTCTGCAAAGGCTAGGGCCAAAAAACTTGTCACGGTCAAAGGCGGACGGCGACGCAGACGACCGAGTCGAGTTGCGGGATACGTTTGGCGCGCGTATCGATAGATGGCGTTGGGAGCAGTGTCCTACGGTGCAGAATATCTCAGTGAGCATGAAAAGTATATAATAGGTAAGGGCAACAGAAATGCAGCTGTAATGAAAAATAGAGCACTTTGGAATTACAACAGGTATGAGGTGGTGAGAGAGATTTGGAAAGGGGTCATGGTCCCTGGCTTGACTTTTGGAAACGCAGTGCTATGCATGAAATCCGAAGTGCATGCAAGACTAGAAATAAAACAGCGCGGAGTAGGTAAGCTGGCTTTGGGGGCACATTGCAAAACGCCAAACCAGGGAGTATAAGGAGACATGGGATGGGCATCTTTTGAGAGCAGGGAAGCGGTGAGCAAGATAAAATTTGAGGATCGGTTGAGGCAAATGGATGGGGACCAATGGGCACGAAAGGTTTTCAGCTATTTATACATGAGGAGCATAGACAGAAAGTGGAGACAGCGCACTAGGAAATTAAGAGGAAAGTTTTTAGGCTATAGTGGAGATACGGGAGAGCAGGTCTCAGTTAAGAAGTAAGTTAAGGCCACAGAAAGAGATCGGTGGCTAGATGGAATGCAGACAAAGACGGCTCTGGAAAGCTACAGATTTAACAAAACAATTATTGTTAAAGAAAGCATTTATGACAATTCTAGGGGAAGCTCATTGTTGTTTGAGGCGAGGACGGGTGTT